AACAAGGCGACGGCTAAGGCAAAACGCTACGCCAACGAGCTCTGTCGAACAAAATGGAGAACACTATGCAACTCGTTTAACGAGAAGACGGGACTACGCCGGGTCTGGCGGACATACCGCGGCCTTGCGGGCAAAACTAAGGCACAAAACACAGGCAGCAACATCGCCTTGAAACTCAAGATCACAGAAGAACAACTTGCCGATCAGGCAGGAACTCTCTTCTTTCCGCAGCAGCATCCGCCCCCGGGAGGCCGAAATCTATCAGCCACTTCAAGTTGAAGACCCCGCACCCGAGAACGCACCATTCACCATGGGCGAGCTACTTGAGGCACTCACGGCAGCCAATACCAACTCGGCACCGGGACCCGGTCAAGTCACAGTCGCGGCACTAAGAAACTTGCCTAAAGAAGAACTTGAAGGACTCCTCCAAAGTTACAACGACATCTGGGACGGCGGAGAAATCCCGGCTGAGTGGAAGAGATCAACGGTCATCCCGATCCCCAAGCCCGGAAAGCCACTCAACACCTTACAAAATCTCAGGCCTATTTCACTAACATCGAACCTGTGCAAAATTCTAGAAAAGATGGTTCAAACGAGGCTTTCATGGATCCTCGAGACTCGAGGTGACCTGCATCCAATGCAAACGGGTTTCAGACCTGGCTTGTCCACCCAGGACAGCTTGGCAATGATACATCGTGACGTGTACGAAAAGCCTCAGTTCAAGAGACAACCAAGAACCATAGTTGCCTTAGACATCAAGAAGGCATTCGACAGCATTCCTCACAAGACGGTCATCGAAGCAGCACAAAGACGCGGAATCCGAAGCAACATGTTAAACTTTATTAAGTCTTTTCTCAAGGAGCGAACGTATCAAATAGTTATTGGTGCAGACAGAAGCCCCTGGCGGCACAACAACACCGGCGTCCCCCAGGGTGCTGTAATATCCCCAACACTCCCTATTGAAAATTCTCATTCGTATGAGAAATTTTTGTGTCCAATAAACACATATGAATCATACAAGTTATATAAGAACAAAGAAGAACCGTATAAGAACCATATAAGAACTATATAAGAACTATATAAGATATATAAGAACATACAGGCACCATATAAGAAACTAGGGGGAAGTTTCTTATAAGTTTCTTTTGGAGTTCTTATATGTAATATATAATTCTTATATGGTTCTTATATGTTCTTATATGCTCTTATATATCTTGTATGATTCATATGTGTTTATTGGACACGAGAAATTTCTCATACAAATGATTTTTTTTTCTAGGGCTGTTCAACATGGCTATGACAGACCTAGCGAACGCATTGGATGCTATACCCAACATCAACTTTTCTATATACGCGGACGACGTTACACTCTGGACCGTCAAAGGAATTGCCAGAAAGCAATAAGAAACAATGCAAAAAGCCCTGGATGTAACACAGGCCTTTGCGAGACAATCAGGCTTCCATCTCTCGCCTGAAAAGACCTCCTTTATGATCGTCACAAAACACAAAACCACACGTTTCGACAAACATATTCAACTTAAAATCGATGGAACCCCCATCCTAAAGGCCCCCAACCTCAAGATCTTAGGCGTCACCTTTGAGCAAAATGGAGGAGCTGCGACCTGGATGAAGCAAACAAAAACCCAATGGTCGGATGGACTGAACCTACTTCGAAAGCTCACGACGAAGGCCTGGGGAGCACAGGCAGATCTACTAAAGAGATTACACCGAGCCCTCCTCGTTTCGAAGGCGGTGTACGGCCTCAGCTACCTCCGGCTTAATAGAGTGCAAGAAGAGACCCTCAATATACTCAACAGAAGCGCCATGAGAGTCATCACGGGTCTTCCCAAGTTCACTACTGTCGCCAAGCTGGAGAAGGCTGCCCAAGTGAACAAGGTCCGAGAAATTGCCGACGAAATGGTGCTGGGACAGCTCAAAAGGCTCTCTCGCTCGGACCATGGTAGAGTCATCTTGCAGAAATTAGAAAAGACCACGGACCTTGACACAACAACTATTGCAGCACATCCGCCGCCCCCGTGGGAAACGGAGGATGTCTCAACAAGTAGGCCAATACCCCAAAACCAAGGAAAAGACCATAAGAAGAGGCGGCAGCACCAGAGTGAAGAACACCTAAAGAATATTGGACAACTCGGAGACGATACCGATGTCTTCTATACCGACGCGGCCAGAAATGAGGCTGGACGCACATGCATCGCATGGAGCTCACCCACCCGCAGCAAAACATGGAGTGGGGAAACGTACAAGACCAGCAACTCCAAGACGGCAGAGCTGTTGGCAATACTGCAAGCCGTCAAGGAAGCCACAGACAATCCCCAACGAGCCAATGTAATTATTTACACAGATTCACAAGAAGCACTCCGTGAATGCGAACGATGCCGCTCGCAGAATGACATCGCGCTCCAAATACGAAGCGTTGTTAAGTAATCAAAACCCTACGTCACCGTCGTTATAGACTGGATTCCGGGCCACGAAGGCATACCGGAAAACGAGAGAGCGAACGAGGCCGCGAGGGCGCAGCTAAACGCATGTACCCTGCCCTCACAAGGCCACGATCCTCTCCTCGCACTTCAAGAACAAGACGAAAGGCTTGCCATACCACCTGACCCAGACGAGATAAAAAGAGAGGAGCGGCTTGCCCGAAAACTCAGGCTCATCTCCCTTCTTCCGCCAGATTCTTATCCGATCCCGCCGGAATACAACCGGTGGGAGGAGGTGAGCATCAGGCGGCTCCAAACAAATACGGCCATCACGCCCATCTGGCAGGCTAGGTTTTATAAGCCTACAGACCCGAACGACCCAGGCATTGACCCCAACTGTGAATACTGCGGTGTCCCGGCAACATGTTTCTACCTCGTGTGGGACTGCGCTGAAAGTTCGCGGCATCACGAAGCAGCGTGGAAGAAGCTTCCCCCACAGGCAAGAAGACCCAAAACATATGAAGAGTGGACCCTTCCGGACCTCGCAAACCAGCACAGGAAGCAGATCCTCGACTCCCTGTTAGACTTTCTCCGTCTTTCAGGGGTGGCGAGGCATGTATGACCCCCTTTCCCCTTTCCTTTCCACTCCACGTCACTCCAGATGATGCTACTCAAGAGGATGTGACGAATCCCCTTTGTACATATAATAAATACGTTTCGTATATATACATGCGTTCTAGACAGCACCCACAAATATGGCGCCCAGTGAATTCTCCTTATTCACTGGCGGCCATAGACTGCTGAACGCGTGCTGATGGCAAGCTTCTGCAGTTATTTTGCTACGTGCATTCCACACCGTCAAAACTGCCGGTCTTGGCAGCCTATAAATGTCAGCTCGTTCTGAGCATGTGTCCTAAACAGAACCTTCAAATATGCTTCGGAAATGCCACAGTAATTAGTTGTCCTCGAGTATAATATACGTATATCGGAACCGCCTAAATCGGAGGTGCGTGATTTAGGCCATATTTTTTTCTTAGTTTGAAAGAGGCGTTTTGAAGCGTTTGTGTCTGCCCAGATGGCCCTGATTTCTGTAATATGGTATACATGGTCTGCAAGTGACGTAGCCTCACCATGCTGGTGGTCGTTCCTGCTTCTTCTTGCCTACAGAAACAAATTCTGTGCTGCGAAATTTACGCTGCAGATGCAGAAGGTATGCGATAAACAGCAAAATACCCCCGACCACACACACAAAAAAAAAGAAAAGGAAGGGGGCTGAAGTGACGTCAGTGCAAGCCATGTCAGATCAGATTTTATTTCATAAAATATATCCCCATTATGAAACATTACATGAGGGGGTAATAAATAGAACATTCAATGCACAAAAATAAAAGGTAAGCATCAAAACATCGAGAAACATATGCTGATCACACTTTACAAATGGGATTTACAAATGTCGCGAAATTTATTGGTATCATTTTTATGGACGATGTGAGCGGGTAAGGAATTCCAGTCGGCAATAGCAAGTAAAAGGGGGGAATTTTGAAATTGGTTAGTTCTGAAGAAGAGAGGCTGAACTTTGAGGGGATGATCGTGGCGCTTTGAAATGTAAGACGGATCGTGAAGATAGAGGCTACGAAGTTCCGATGATGAGTAGTAGATGCCGTGAAAGAAAACAGGGTGGGCTAGTTTGGTTTTAACGGCTCGGGGATTCAGCTCCAGGCTGGTTTTAAATATCGTGACACTCGAGGCTCGTGAATAGTCATGCATGATGTAGCGTGATGACCTTGTTTTGAACAGATTCGAGCTTGTTAAGAAGGTAGGACTGATGAGGCCACCAGATGATGTTGGCGTACTCGAGTTTAGATCGCACTAATGCTTTGTAGGTGGTTACTTTGATTGTCTTAGATGAGCGGAAAAGGTTGCGTTTGATGTATCCGAGCGATTTACATGCACCTAAAACGGTGTTATTGATATGATCGTTTTAAATGGGTCCTCTGAAAAAAATTACTCCTTAGTACGTGTATGTTCCAACTTTCTCTATGTCTTCGTGGTTAATCTAATATCTCCTTGGCGTGTAAGAAGGCTGACTGGCAAATGTTATAAATCTTGTTTTGTTCGTGTTCAAGTTTCAAGTTATAAATCTTGTTTTGTTTGTGTTCAGTCTCAGTTGCCATGTACTGCACTAAAGTGAAATCAGGTTGAGGTTTGTGCTATCGGCAACAAAATGGTGTATTTTGTGGCTCCAGCCAACATCCCCTAGTATAATTGAGGCCTGTGAACAGTCTTCTTTACTTATTGGAAAGTCATCACAATAGAATGTCATCATACTGATGTCTAGCGTCCTTCGGCGGATTAGTTTGATTGAACATGCCAGCCCAGCCCAGCCCCACACTGACATTGCACTCATATACCATTCGTGTCTGTGCTCAAACTCAGTGTGATGACATCAACACTGGTTTTAATTATTTAAGGTGGTGTTACTGGCAGAATTGTGGCAGAGTCTTGCTGACGCGCAACAAGTCGTCCGATGAATGTTTTTTTGTTTTGTTTTCTTCTCGGCAGTGGGCGGTGGATCGGCCGGTTCTGTGCTGGCCAACCGGCTTTCCGAAGACTCTTCGAACCGCGTGCTGCTCCTGGAAGCCGGAGGCCTGGAAGACAGTATCACGGACGTGCCACTATTCGCGACCCTCGGCCAGCACACGGAGAGGGACTGGAGCTTTCAGACGGAGCCCCAGAAAAACTGCTGCTTTGCGCTCCGAGATCAGGTACCCGTCACCTTCGCCCCGCATTGCATGACTCTATATGAGAGCTGAAACAAAGTTCGCCCGCCTCGCTCGCTGGGTGTGTCCTCAATGAACTCGACATTATCCTTGAAAGACCGCTTTTGTGTCCAAGTAAATAGGTTATAGCGGCATAGTTATCTCGAATCTTTCTCACACAGAATTTGTTTTATCAGTCGAACTCCACGAGAACACCGTTATGAAGAACCTTTACGAATGACCGTTACGAAGGAAATTGATAAAGGACCGACTCGTCGATTTCCCCGCTAAATTTAGCGGAGAAATAGAGGTAACGTGATACGTTCCGAGCCTTGTTACGTGAGGTCGATTCTACCGCTAACTGTAGCGGGGAAATTAACGGGACGTGACCCCGTCATGTTATGGTAGTTTGCGCTAAACACATTTTGTGTTCTCCGATCTTTGTCAGCGCGATCGAGCTTGCGTAATTTTTATACTTCCTTGCGTGACATGCTTCTTTGTTGCAGAGGAATGTCTGGTCCAACGGCAAAGTGTTGGGCGGCAGCAGCGTCCTCAACTTCATGATCTACAACCGTGGCAATCGTCGCGACTACGACAGCTGGGCCGCCGGAGGTGCCCTGGGCTGGTCGTACGACGAGGTGCTGCCCTACTTCATGAGGTCGGAAGACAACACGGACTCGACCCTGACATCTAACGGTACGCTGCACGGACACGCCATCTGTGCCCCCCAAAAAGAACTGAAAACTACACACGGCTCGCATTGAGATCGCGTCAGAAGACATTATGGTGAATTTTCGCCGCTAAGCCCGTATAGACCAGCTGAAAGCTCTGGCGTCACGCCATTGCGGTGGCGGCGCTGCCCTGCCCTGTTGGAACTACGTATTCGAAAACGCCTCACTTCTTCCAGATGTGGTGTGTCCGAACCCGTGGTGGGCGATAACGTCATGTGAGAGCCATGGATAGAATTTTCCCGAGCTCCTGAAGTTCGCGGAGCCCATACATCTTTACTTACAATAGTGTTCGAGGGCGGAAGGGGAAGGGGGGACCCGAAAATTATTTCTACAATTTGGCGGATTTATTTTTGCGCCTTTAAATTCAGTCACTTTCAAAGTATTTTCTCCGCCTCGTGCAGTACGAAGTGCGGGTTCGTCTGTATCTTGCACATGCATTGCGATAGTATTAGAACGCCGAGTTCTTATCGGCTAATCGAAGAAATAGTGGGTAGACCTCAAGGCATCTAGCATTGATGCCTACCCACTATCCTTTCAATCAGAGCCAATCACAGCTCGGCGTTGTTCTGACGTCACCGCAACCCCTTCGCAACAAGCAGGCGACTTGCTGTCCGCATACACTTGTCGAAACGTTTCTTCCCAATGCTCGAAACAACCTTACAAGTCGTCGAGTTGATGCCTTTTTGTGCTTCTGCCGTTTTTTGTTCCACCTTTCCACGTCGGCAAACGTTTTCCTTTAATTACGCTTTCCATTCGAAAAAAAAAAAAAAAAAAAAGCCACGCGGGCCAAGGTCGTGTATATATGGAGGGTGGGGTAGGGGGTCAAGCCGTTTTTAGTCAAAAATTACTGAACGCTTCGCGCGGTGCGGGCAGGCGCGTTATCATGGTAAATGAGCAAACCTAACCGAGCGAGGTACGAATTTTCCGCAACTCGTTTCATAAGGCCCGCTTCAGACGGGGCAATTTCGCCCAGCAACTTGACGTCGCAACTCCAGCAGCACGGGCCGCCCGCGTTCACACGCGGCAACCAAATTGCTATGACTTGCCATCATCATCATGAAATTTGATTTTTCTTACACTATTTAGACGCGCAACTACGCGCTAAAAACGTGTTTTATATCTTTGAATGGTATTGAGAATAAATACTAACTCATCTTTCTAAAAAGGTTTGTTTCCAAAAACGGTCCATTTTAAACCAGAACTAAGTCTTTAGCTGTCATCATCCCCACCACGGGGGTGTCACGTGAAAATATCGCGTCCCTGATTGGCTGCAGCCGTTTCAAGCGTCTTCGAATTGCTCCGAGTTGCTCGCTCGTTCGAGCCGGACCCTATCTCAGCAATTCGTGTCGATCTAAGGAAAGCTAGGGAACAACCCGCCAGCAACACCGAAATTGCTGGAAAATTTGCCCCGTCTTAAAGCGGGCCTTAGTAAAGGCCCCTACGTACAGTGGCGTTTGAGTGCGTTTGACTGCGTTGCGTCGAGAAACGGTAGCGAGTCATTGTTACATCTGTGCTTCGCATGAAGAGTGTAGTCCTATTCGAGGAATAACTTGGTACGCCGCATAAGAAGCGAGGATCTCCTGGTTTTCCGCAGCAGCAACGCAATCAAAACGCACTCAAATGCAACTGTGCGTAGGGTCCTTTAATCCTCCGATAAAATTTTCTGGAAGAAATTCCATAACATTCCAGTCAACTCCACAAGTTCATCAATCGTCCGACGGCGGTTATCGACGATGGCTTGACGAACTCTTGACATAATCTTTCCATTTCTGCTGATCGAAGGATGCCCGGAATGAGGTTGACCGTCACTCAGCTCTTCGCCTTGTTTAAAACGGGAAAACCCATTCGTCAAGGTGTGTTTTACTCGGAGCAGCTTCTTTGTAAACCGCCCGTACGTAACGACCGTTTCCACCGCATTTTGTTTTCCAACAGAAAACTAAATTCCTTTGCCGCCCGTTGTTTGTTAGCCACCACGAAATAGCAAAGGACGAAAGATTCTCCAAACACTGTTCATCAAAGCCGAAAGCAGTGTCTCACAAGAATGCAAAATGCTACACCGGTGCAGACGAGTTCATAGAAATCTCACATAGCGGGGAGAAAATTGTTGTAGTAAAAACCCACCTTCCAGAATATAATTTCGGTTACATTTGGGTACGCCCTCGAATATATGCAGGCTGTTTCACTTACAATTAAGAATAACTTTCAAAAAGGTCACTTTAAATAGACGTACCTTCGAAATGACGTTCTCAACCACGGCAAACGTTAGATTAGGAGGATAAAACGATATTTAGCGAATTAAATACCTAACGCTCATTAATTACTTTATGCCTGGCGGGCGCGTTTGAATTACGTAATTTGTAGCCCGTCGTCAAAAGTTCCGTAGCATCAGCTGCTAATGAGCTTACAAAAAAAAGCAAAAAGCTTTCATCTTATTGGCAAAGAAGAATCGCCTTTGTGCTCTTCGTGCCCTTCACTCTAAGACGGCAACCACGTTTTAAGGCCCTTTCACACTCTTGCGACCGAGTACGACTGAGAGAGACGAGATCTCTTAAAACTTCTTAAATGTTTTTAGAATGAGGGGACACACTGGCATTGTGGCGCCATCTATGCGGTGACCCTGGAACAGTATTTCACAAGAGCGAAGGTTTTGCGGGATCTCCGAGGTCAAATGTGCGTGATACCCATAGAAAGGCTCATTTATAACATTGACAAAAGTTTTGCGAGCCAAAAAAAAAAAAAAAAGGATAATGCGCGAGAAATAAAAAAAAAATATGCCGGACCGCCGAGTTTACACTGCTTCCCAATAGACAGCGCCAGTGTGTACCCTGGTTTAATTTTAAGGAACCCAGGTTTAAGAGGTCGCAAGAGTGTGAACGGGCCTTTAGGCAACTGTACTCCACACAACCCTCTAAAAAGAAAAAAAAATGCCGATATAGATACATTTGGGTGTGAAAACGAACGAAGAAATTGAATAGCACCATCACACGACTTCTGAGGCTGGACACAATGCCACGAAAGCACCGATTAATTACCCTGACACATACTCGTTTATTCAAAATACTCTATAAACGTTTTTTGAAAATAGAGTGCAGTTCGGTTTTTTTTTTTTCTATACAATCTCTTTTTTCTTAGCGTTTCACCTTTTTTTCTTTTTTAGTACCCAGTCCTACTTCCCTCGTACTCTTTTTTTTTTTCTTCTAAGTAACGAATTGGTTCTGAATGTAAGTTGACCTTTTCGTGTTTGTTACTTAAACCACTCTCTTCTCACTATAATGTCTTTTCGGGAGCGAGTTTTCGGCGCTTTTCAGTGCCTATTATCTGTTTTTTGTTTTTTGTTTTTTTTTGGCTGGGAGTACTTTTGAAAAGAGATGTTACGTCATGCAAATGTATGACATCATAGACAGATGTAACGTCAGGGACATCGATACAACGTTACGGACGGAGGGTGCACCATTTCCTCGCTAAATTTAAAGGGCAAGGTTTTTGGAACGAGGTGTGGCGTCAGCGTTGGAGCTCACATCTTCACGTGACTACAAGGTTCACATCACCTGAAGCCACGGCGTCACGTCACGCGATCACGTGACGTCAGGAGGCGCTCGTCTGAACGGACGTCACGGGACATCTATATTTTGTTTTGTTTGGACATGTTCTTACTCCACAACAGTTTAGCGGGAGCGTTGAATACGTTTTTGGGCTCGAGGGGTAGGTTCTGAAAAAAATGTTGTATCATTACGGACAAGATATATCTTCATGGACGGGCGTAACGTAACGGATAGACGTTACGCTCGATGTCGAGGCCGTACGTGTAGACGCGGTTGCCCTACAGTCCATCGCACGAAGCACACAACGATCAGAATTCGGTGTGTGTGTATGTTTATACAGCCTAGAACTTAGTCTGCCTCAACGCTCGACTTGTCTCTAAGCTGCAGATGATAAATTTAGCCAGTGCAGTACAACCGCTAGCCTGGGGTCTCTAACATGCACCACGCAGTAGTGATACGATGCTTATCCAGGATACCGGCGTACGGTCGAGCACAACGAGCAGATATAAAGTCCGAAGCGCACATTTTGCACACGGCGTTCCGGCAGTGACATCACGCTGATGACGTATCATGAAGCTTGATGACATCACGCAGATGTCGCTTCATGACATATTTTTACTGCCATCACAACGCCGACTATAGTCGGCGTTGTGATGGTTACAGTACGTCAAAAACAAGCGGCGTATACGCCGCTTGTTTTTCACGTACTGTAACAAGTGAGGTCGTCCTAGAGGTCTGGGACGACTTGTAGGACGACCGCAAGGACGACGCCAACGACAGCGTCGTCCTTGAGCATACGATTGAGTGGCACGGGCCGCGCAATCGCGTTTTTATGGCCATTTACTTAGATTTTTCGCTCAATGGGAAAAGTAAACTTTCGCCCCCCCCCCCCCCCCCCCCAAGAAAAAAAAAAGGTCAATTAGTAGATTTTATGTTATTAGTTTGCTCTCTATCACTTTATGCTCCTGCTCTGAAGTCCTCCGCAGTCGCAGACCGAAAAAATAATTTTCTTATACTAAGTGGCCTTTACTAAAGCAGTTTCAGTCGTGCGCAAAACACCTAGTCTCGTTCCTCTCCTCCCGGCTGCACAGCCTGCAAGGCGGAAAACGGGAAGACGCAGGCAAGCTCAATGCATTACAGCGAGCTTATATTATGTGGTAAGGGAATAGAACCTTCCATGTTGAAGAAACAGTCACAGGAGAGAAACGTCTTCAATAACTGTGTCTGTTTCTCCTGTTCATTGCCTGTGTATTGAATTTTTTTTCCCTCACCACAGACTCGGTTGTTACACACTATGATGCGAGTCTTTGTCGACGCACATAGAAAGACATTTCGCGTTGCCTCGCTTTCGATGTCGCGCAGGCTACCACGGCGTCGGAGGAGAGCTCACCGTAAGCAGGGCCAAGTACACGACCTACGTCCTTGACGCTTTCCTCAAGGCCGGCAAGGAGCTGGGCTACGACGCGGTCGACTACAACGGACCGCAGCAGACCGGTGAGCCCGCGCACGCCTGGACGTGTACGTCGAACCGCGACGCACCCTGACCACCAGTCACTGGTCCTTCTTATAAATGTTCTACTAGAGTCACTGAGAAGCTAAGAAGCTCAAGGTGTGATTTATTAGCTTCACTCTTTTTGCTTCGTGATTTGGTCTTTGGGATTCCTGTCGGCGACTGCCGAAATATGATTCGCTGCAAAGCAATAATGAGATGCTCAGGACACGTTACGTCCTGCGTTTCTGAATCTCTCGGTGTCTAAATACCGAGGCAGAACAATGGTTAGTATCCCGAGGGAATTGATAGAAAATCTACGGGCAGGACCGTTCAGGAGTGTTGTGTGCATCTACCTTCCCTCACAGTACAGCGGTGGACCAATTACTGCGATCTGCGGAGCGCGTCCAGAGAAAGACGCAATTATTAAGCTTGCGAATGCCATCAGCGCAGGGATAATGGGCAAATGAAAACGCATTGTTACTGGCACGCGTTTTCGCACTTTGTAGATTGCTCTGAATGGTCCGCCGACACTCTGAGTTAGAGAATAGCTGAACATAGGTACATTTCTGGAAAAGATCCGCCGAACAGCCGATGGTCGCTCTGCAGGTTTCAGCGCCAACCAGTTTACCATGCGCGGCAACGAGCGGTGGTCGACGGCCAAAGCCTTTGTCCTTCCTGTGGCCGGGCGCAAGGGAAGGCGCAACCTCCACGTGTCCTTATTCTCCCAAGCGACGAAGGTAACGAGGCTCCCTTCGAAGACCCATTGTTAAAACTGTCCTAAAATCTTCTTCGCCGTTTCTATAGATGTGCCAGTTGTTTGGAAGATAAAGAAACCGTGTTCTACTCGTCTAAAAGAAATACAAACAAAAACGCGTCGCCGAACGCCCAAGTCTCTGTCCATGTGGCGCGCTAGTAGTTGGGACCAGACGTTAAAGCTTCCGAACTTAGCGCTATCTGACATAAAAGTTATGTGATTTTGATAAATTTCAAGGAGTGAAATTATAGGACCGTTGCTTGTTGTGGGCTACTGTATCCGTGGGACCTTTGGCTGAAATTTTTTATTCAAATCTTCTGAAATAGCTTATAACATTTGAATTAGACAGCGGTAAGTTCCGAAACTGACATCAGGCCCGGCTTGCTAAAGGCCACGTCTTAGTAAATGCTGTGAAAGAAAGTAGAGACAAGACTGGCGCGCCAGCTGTGTGGAACGACCACTCAACTCTCAAGCGTTCGCGCATTCCAGGCTTGGCAGGCTTTTCTCGACGCAATTTTATAGGGATTTCCTTTGGAGGATTTGGAGCGATCTAAAAGCGCTCTATGCTCGCGCCTTTAGAGGGGCAAATGCTAGCGCACGCTTGCACGTGCAAGACGATACCAACAAAAAAGCGTTCAAAATCTACTTCAAATGCGCGAAGGGCATTCCCCCTTGGTCTCAGCTAGGATATTATTTCTAGCAAACCTGTCCTGGTCCCAACTCCTACTGCTGCGTCTGGGCGAAGACTGTAGAGTTCGGCAATGGTTTGCATATTTTGGCGTGAAAGAGAACACGGTTATCTTTTCTCTCAAACAACCGTTGAGATCAAAATTCATCTATCGTCTTCAATCCTCGTTGACCTGCAGGTCGTGTTCCAAGGCAAGCAAGCAGTGGGCGTGACATACAGGAAAGCCGGGCGACAGTACACCGTCCTGGCCTCCAAGGAGGTGGTGGTATCCGCGGGTGTGGTCAACTCGCCCAAACTGCTCATGCTCTCGGGAGTTGGCCCCAGAGAGCACTTGGAAGAACTCGGCGTAAGCCTTTTCCATTCGTGTGGGCGTCTTTTCGAATTTGACATGTCCACATCGCGGTATGCCTTTCCCCGTGGCCTTTCCGCAGCCGAGCACGTGCGTGTTCGTCGATTTTGAAATAAGTGCATATGCGTGCGTGTTTATTTCTCTATGAACGCGGAAAATGACTTGGCTGGATGCATTTATATTGAACGGTTTATACCGGTGCTGTTCGGCCGTGGAATAATAAGTATAAACAAGTCAATGAACAGAGCGCACTGGAACCTTTCACATAAGGTTCCAGTGCATACAACCTTTCACAAAGGTCCCAGTGCATACACACGTTTTGTGAGTGTAAGTTTTTGTCAAACAATGGAATAAAAGGAAAACTTATTATTTCCTATGCAACGGTAGAAAAAAAAAAACAAAAAAAAAAAACGTAACGTGAAACACAGCGACGACTGAGGCGTGACTTCGCGCCCCTATGATGTCATTTCGGAGCAGATGGACTGAATAAACGGTAAAGGTGCGAGCGCGCAGCACAGAGTCCGCATAGGCGTTTTGTATTAAACCGACAAGCACACCGAACGAAAATTCTATAGCGTTTTGTAACTAGTGAGGGTGCATTAAATATAGAGCAATTCAGCTGTCTGCGTAAGAGGGGAGCGTATTTTCGAACGTCACTTCGGTTCAAATGGTCACACGTGCTAAAGGAAAAGCGCCGAATAAACGGTAACAAGGAAGCAGACAAGACGAAGGGCACTCTCAAATGAAGGTTTATTGAAACGAACACACGCTATTAATACCATCTTTTTGACTCTTCGTTCAGAAAAGAAAACTCTGTATCTGCCAGGTGCATCCACGGGGCACTAACGCACTAGCTTGTGCTTTGCTTTCTGATGCAGAATGCATCGTAAAATTCTTAGGCAGTTTTATCTGCGTATCTCCCGAGAATTGTCGTTTGCGCTAATTCTAGATCACTTGGGCACCCATTCCAGTGGACTGCCAGATCATCCGGCAGGGACTATTTCACTGCCCATGCATGTTATCTTGCTACCATGCGTGGCTATGCATGTTATCTTGCTTGCTCGTTATCTTGTTATCAGCGGCCCGTTAAATGCATTGGCGGAGTGCCGAAAATGGCCCGTGGTCGACGGCGCGAATCTTCGAAGTGTCCCCCTAACAGCTACTGCTGTAAAACAGCTACCTGTTTAATGAACTGTCTGGTATGACGCTGCTACTCACCTGTCGTACCACACTCGCTCGGATCAGTTTAGTGGGTGGCAGCGTCAACCCGACGGTTTTCTTGTTTTCCTCTCGTGCATAGGAAATAACAGGTTTCGTCTTTTCTTGCATTTTTTCCCCAGAAATCTACACTTACTAAATTTGAGTGCGATAAAAGTACGACCTAAAGACACGATTGTCGAAAGTTTCATTGAACTCCATCTGTTGGCTTATTTATAAAAACTTTTTTTCCCGCCCAAAATGGCGCTCAGTAACACACTGTAAAACAATTAATACCGGGAGAGCCAAATGAACCGTTTGTTCTTTCAATTGCCCGCATCAATCGATTTATTGACGTATTTAACTAAGATTTCAAATAGAGATGGCCCAAGGTGGGGAATTTTGTGTATCAATAAATGAGCCTTCTGTAAAAAGGAACAAAGAAACAGCGTGAATTCGCTGCCCCAGGCGGACGCGTCTGCAAATGACAGACATGTGGACGACGATGGGAAAATGAATTCTGGTGAGCATGAGGCGTCAAAGTTTCATCAAATATGTGTATTAGTAGAGAAATTCACCTCGTGAAATATTGAGTCATAGGTCCGTTCCTGTAACAATTTTGAACCAAACTCTGAACATTTTTAATTGTAGGCTCCGATGCAGACGACCGAGTTGCAGGAGCCTAGGGTGCCTGCATGTCTGTCTGTCTCAGGGTGAAGACATCCATTGTTGCACTGAATGTGCCAGCGCGTGACGCTCTCACGCACTCGGTGCATGACTTGGGCGGTAAAATGGCGTCTATGCATTAGCCAAAGCTACGCGCTCGAGCTGAGTGACACCGGATTGCGCGCACTTCAAAAGGCATGAAAAAACAATTGAGCGGAAAAATGGCTGAGATGTCACCACTCAAGCAAAGGCGCGCGTGTGTATGAAGGCACTCTACAGGAGCCGTGTTTGTGGCGCCCCCGCGATAGCCGCAGCAAGCAGTTGTTCGAAAGCGGAAGACACGTACCCTTGTCTACTTGCTGCACCCATATGGAGATGGCGCCACGAGCCTGGCTCCATTAACAGATGCTTTCGGCACTTTGAACGCTCGGTCAGCTCGGTCGTCGTCTGAGTCGGCTATTTCCGTTCAAAACGTCACATATGATCTGGTTTTTAAAGGAAAAGGAGCACCGCCTTTGAATTTTACAGCGCTCTACGTGTAGACGTTAGTATTTCCGGCTCGTTTTACAGAGAGCCTCGTCACTTATGCCACCATATATTTACACCAATCTGCGAACACTGAGGGGTTTATCCCAGAAGTGTCAATCTAGAGGGGTGTAGCAAATATCTGGAAGGGCCTCCTGGAGGTTTATAACAGAGTGTAGTGTACTTTGTCTGGAAACTTCTGGTGTATTTGGGCGGGGGGGCTAAAAGAGGAGGGGAGGTATAGATTACTTTTAACACTTAAAATCATCCCGCATACCTTTCAAGCCTGGAAACTTTGGCTTTCGGCGGGTTCCTGGAAACTTTGATTCGTTGGATTAAGTACGGTTCATTCAACTGCACATATTCGTTCACATATATATATATGTGTAGCCATTAAAAGACAAAACCAGCACTCTTGATGGTGCGGGATGCACAGGCGATATATATATATATATATATATATATATATATATATATATATATATATATATATATATATATATATATATATATATATAAAGTTTTTTTATGACGAGAATTGTTAGCTCGCAGGCTTTATCTTTGCCAGACGCTCCTGCTCATCGAGAGTTCGCGCAGTCGAGATGCATCCTTCAACGAAGAGCTCGCGCTTGCAGCGTTGTAGTGAAATTGTTCTACAATACAAAAAGCTGGGAAGCAAAAAAGATAAATAAAATAAAGCGGAACAAAGGGCAAATGAAGACAAATATACGTATGAACCATTCAAATACGTTAAAGGAGCAGAGGTACTTTCGAGCGAAAATGTATCGTCGAGATGAGATCAGTATGACGCATGCCATTTCTAGTGCTCGAGGCCTGGGAACCGGGTCTCGTGACCGGTTGCCCGCGGGTCGCATGCGGCCTGCAAGCCGCGTGTTTGAAACTCCTGTGGTAGATGGTACGTACATTTGATCTAGCAAATATCACAAAACCTTCGCTGTAGTAAAATGCGGTTCCAGGGTCATCTTACAGAAAGCGCCCACGTGCTAGTGTGTTCTCTCGTCGTAAGAGATCACGGGAACTCGGTCCTAAGCAAACGCAAGTATTTGAGCGGCCCTTAACGTTTCATCTCTGATGCGCCGTCCTTGACTTAGATCGACGTTGTGGCGGACCTTCCCGTGGGAAGCGAGCTTCAAGACCACACCGTGGTGGGAGGCGTTGCGGTGCACCTGAACCAGAGCTACTACGAGGATGTCGCGGGCGTCAAGGGAGCCCTCGACTACTACCGCAAGGGAACAGGTATACCAGTATATCGCTACCTCCGCAACCGATATGGTTAAAGGGACGCTGAACCAAACATTTCAGAGTTCATAATAAGTTGCGCACAATCTTTCCACGAGCCAGCAGCCGCCGGTGCACGCGAGCACAAGCCAAGGAATGGACGTCCGAATCCTCCATTCACTCTTAACATGACAGTAAAATGCACATGGTTGAAAAAACCCCGAGACTGCGGGTAAACGACACAACACTAAAAAGTCTCTAACACAGCTGAAATTTTTATTTTCCGAAATCTGGTTATATAGGCACTTCGATACAAAAGAAAAAAGGGGGAGAGGGTGAGAACCCCAAAGAATGCCACTTTCCACCAGAGTAACCTATGACTAAATACAAGGACAACCGACTTTGGGTCATGCACCTCTCTTATCTTTGACCCCTCACTACCCGACCGCCAAACACACTGGAAAGCCTAAGCCCATTAACACACGAGCACAAAAAACAAACGACTTAACGTTTTTTCTACCCGAAAACCTACATTAACAACCACACACACACACACACACACAAAAAAAAAAAAAAAAAAAAAAAACACAACGTTTTTTCTATTCGAAAACCTACAAAGATAAACTTTGAAGGTCAGATCTTTTCACAGCCTAAGAAAACGCCGATGTTCGTTGTCCAACCAAACGACGGCTTATTCACTGCGTTCCCGTGACCTAGTATCGTTAATGACTCTTCTATCAATCGCTTATGGCCATGTTTTTCCCGCAACACTACTGAAGTTAAATGCCACAACGGTGCACAGTTCCTACATTCGATAACATGTTTTGACACTTCGGAGTACGGGTCTTTTTTCATTATACAACGTTTGTGTTCCATCAAGCGCTCATTTATACAGCGTTTAGTCTGTCCAATATAACAGAGGCCACAATCAAAGGGTATCTTGTAAACGACACCCGACGAACATTCTACATGGTTAAAAGAAAACCGGAGACTGCGGGTAAACGACATAACACTAAAAAGTCTCTAACACAGCTGAAATTTTTATTTTCCAAACCTGGTTATATAGGCACTTCGATGCAAAAGAAAAAAAGGGGGAGAGGGTGAGAACCCCAAAGAATGCCACTTTCCACCAACGTAACCTCTGACTAAACAACAAGGACAACAGACTCTGCGTCACGCACTTCTCTTATCTTTGACCCCTCGCTTCCCGACCGCCAAACACACTGGTAACCCCAAGCCCAGTAACACATATACAAAAAAGAAAAAAAGAAAAGAAAAGAACGACCCATCGTTCCCGCTACCCGAAAACCGACAGACATAAACCTTGAAGGTCAGAACTTTTCACAGCCTAAGAAAACGCCGCAGTTCATTGTCCAACCGAAACGACGGCTTATTAACTGCATTCCCGTGACCTAATATCGTTAATGACTCTTTTATCAACCGCTTATGGTCATCTTTTTCCCGCAACTCTACTGAAGTTAGATGCCACAACGGTACACAGTTTCTACATTCGATAACATGTTTTGACACTTCGGAGTACGGGTCTTTTTTCATTATACAACGTTTGTGTTCCATCAAGCGCTCATTTATACAACGTTTAGTCTGTCCAATATAACAGAGGCCACAATCAAAGGGTATCTTGTAAACGACACCCGACGAACATTCTACATCCCTTTCTCTGTGTTTTATCGTGCAACCTGAAACAGGTGAGGCAAAAGGGGTCAAACGGCTCAATCTGTAATCTGTAGAAAAGGCAGTGCCAATATTAGGGAGTTTTCGTAGATCGCGTTGCCCCCTCCGCTAAGCGTTCCGCAACGAAGAAGTTGCTACTGCGCCTGCGCGCTAATAGCCTTGACTGTGGAGTTCCCGCTATCGCAGCGGGTTGCGGGGGGCCTTGCGGGACGGCGAAAACGATCTACGAAAACTCGCTATTAAACCTGCTGGCTAACGCTTTGATGTTGTGCGAAATTTTATGAAAATATGGAAGGACTACTCGCTTTGAAGGTCTACGATTTTTCCGAATTGACTTCTTTGGACATACCCTATACTGGGTCCGGACATTTCGTCGAACGCCGTTTCATCGAACGCCGTTTCATCGAACACCGTTTCATCGAACGCCGTTTCATCGAACGCCGTTTCATCGAACGCCGTTTCATCGAACGCCGTTTCATCGAACGCCTTTTCATCGAACGCCGTTACAGCCTGCAATATTTTTGCAATTTATTTTGATTTTTATACAAAACGTCATCTAATTCTCTTTTTTTTAAATCACAGTATGCAGTGACGAGATAAGTTCCATTGTGAACATGTCCTGCTTCGAGAAGAAAGCCTCTATGAAACAATGACCCCTCTCCATGTCACATGAAACAATTAAAAATGAGACAAAAAAAAAACATAAAGCACGATGGGCTTTCTGGGAAGCTTTTATTGTCTGACAGCGTGTACCTGTAACCTTGGGTTATGTGAGCATCCGAAAGGATTCTGTCTTCTTGGGTGACAAAGTACACCCAATGGCTTAACTATTGTCTGGTGCGGGTTGGCCTTCCCAAGAAAGCGTCCTGAGGATGATTCATAGGCAAAAGGGTCGGTCATAAAGTTGACAGTGAAGGGGAGGTGGTTCCGGTCCAGGTGTAGCCCGAAACCATGTTGGCTGACACCTTGTGCAGCTTTTGTATCTGTAGAGTTTGAAAACTAAAAAAAAAGCAGAAACGTTTAATCTGAGCATAAAGCTGATAATCAGAGTATCATTATATTTTATTTCGTGTGCTCTCCTGGCAGAGTATCGTTTTATTATAAGCGTGCTGCCCTGGGAGTTAAATGCATTTCGTGAATAAACCTTCAACTAAGCGTAAGTGTGCAAACGAGTTGGTGTGAATTGCACATTACCGAAACCCCCAGACAGCCGGTAAAAAAACGGCACAGACATTCAAAAGTGTTTTAACTGTCGGTCATTTACCTCCAGTGTCCTGTTTTCTGACGGGTACATGAGTAAAACTTTTCAGTAAGTCGCATACCCATTCGTTTTTATACCAATGGTTTTTATTTCTAGTAATTTGGCTTCACCCTAAAAACAGTTTCACAAGTGACTACCTTAGTCTTAACAAATGTAAGGTAAAACATCTATAAAGCACTGTTATGCCCCAAAACTCAATACAGAGAAATTCGATGAAACGACCCTTAGCGATTCGATGAAACGGCCCTTAGCGGTTCGATGAAACGGCGTTCGATGAAATGGCGTTCGATGAAATGTACATTCATTCGATGAAACGGCGTTCGATGAAACGGCGTTCGATGAAATGTCCGCTACACATCATATACATCAACTGCCTTAAAAAATGTTCCTGTGGATATCCAGCAACCTCGAAACGTTCTGTCAGTCGACGAAGAGAAGAGCCAATAAAATGTGAGCATGACTTCTGTACTGTTGAATTGACGAGATTCCGAATTATTCCCAGTTTGACATTGATGACCACGTCCGGTCACCAATTGAAGAAACCGAAGGTTCCTTCCGTTTATTTTACAGCAGACGAACTATATACAAGAAGCTATGTAAATAAATAAGACGTCCGAGATGTCCGAACACCGGTATGCTGTATCGGTATGCTGCCTCGGTCTCGAGCCTTCCCTCGTTCCTTCCTGTCTCCTCTTCCTCGTCTTCTGGAACTGGTTAGGTCACCCGCTACAACATGTTTAGAATTGCAGCTATTGAAAGGAAGAAGAGGTTTTGCTGCGAACTTTCCGTACTCCCAACAAAGGCCTGAACTATTCCCAAGTTGAATATCGAGATACTGTAAACGGTCGTCATTCGGTCTCTCTAGCGAAAACTTTAATTCGGGGGCTGCTTCGAACACTACTTTCTCCAAAGAATCCGCCAAGGAGCCATCTTTCGAACAAACCAAGATATCGTCTACGTACCTCCTCACAGAATTTCCTTAAGGGATCTATGTCTAAAAGACTCTAGAAGACGCAGATCTAGGTCTCTTAGATAAATATCCGAGAGAGTTGGGGCTACCGCCGAACCAATACACACACCCTGTTGCTGAATGTAACTTTGACCATTATGTTGCACCACCGTAGAAGCTAAATTTTGTGTAAATATAAAACCGTTCAGGATGGATATTGTATCTGCGATTCATACTGTGTCAAGTGCCGACTCTGACCCGGCGGTAAAAACTGCATTGATAATGTCTTCTTTAAAAAAGATGTCGGATTTGGTTGACGATTCGTACAAAAGCGACCGTAGGGACTTCAGCAAGATCGTATCGGTCAAGAGGGAATTAGATGAGAAAGAAGTAGTACTCTTAGAAACCGATAAGTCGGGTTTGTTTTCAGTGTTACCAGTGTTGGAGTTCCGAAGGAAATCAGACGAAGCCATGGCGGGGTTGTTTAGACCTTTTGACGGTTGTTTGAAAAAGTCCAAAAGAGAAATTGTGAGGGTTTGTAAGGACGCCGATCTAGCAGCTTTGACCACCAGAATTAATAATGTTTCTAAAGACACGTTTGGCATAAAATTTTTCCTTAAAGATCATAAGGTAGATCTTCCTCTAAGAGTAGTCATAAACGAGAATGGCACATGGCAGAAAATAGTGTCCTCATTTCTTCAGAAGACTCTCACGATCTTGGATACTAGATCCCCGTTGTCACTGCGGTGTTCTAATGATTTAGTAGCTGAATTGCAACCTTTCCACGGAAAGAGGTGCACGATCTTTTCACTTGACATAAAATATCTGTACTATTCTTTCGAACCTAAGACGTTGTTGGCTAGGGTCAGCAGCTTTTTGGAAGAACATTTGGTCAGTTTCCAGTCGCAGTCGGGGATATCTGTTCAAGATGTTCTCAGGATTTTAGAAGTGTATCTAGGTTCTACGGTGGTGCAACATAACGGTCAAAGTTACATTCAGCAACAGGGTGTGTGTATTGAATCGGCTGTAGCCCCAACTCTTTCGGATATTTATCTAAGAGACCTAGATCTGCGTCTTCTAGAGTCTTTTAGACATAGATCCCCTAAGGAAATTCTGGTGAGGAGGTACGTAGACGATATCTTGGTTTGTTCGACAGATTTGCTCCTTGGCGGATTCTTTGGAGAAAGTAGTGTTCGAAGCAGCCCCCGAATTGAAGTTTTCGCTAGAGAGACCGAATGACGACCGTTTACAGTATCTCGATATTCAACTTAGGAATAGTTCAGGCCTTTGTTGGGAGTACGGAAAGTTCGCAGAAAAACCTCTTGTTCCTTTCAATAGCTCCAATTCTAAACATGTCAAACAGGGAATAATTCGGAATCTCGTCAATTCAACAGTACAGAAGTCATGCTCACATTTTATTAGCTCTTCTCTTCGTCTACTGACAGAACGTTTCGAGGTTGCTGGATATCCACAGGAACATACTTTAAGGCAGTTGATGTATATAATATGTCCAAAGAAGTCAATTCGGAAGAATCCTAGACTTTCAAAGCGAGTAGTCCTTCCATATTTTCATAAAATTTCGCACAACATCAAAGCGTTAGCCAGCAGGTTTAATATTGGCACTGCCTTTTCTACAGATTATAGATTGAGCCGTTTGACCCCTTTTGCCTCAACTGTTTCAGGTTGCACGATAAAACACAGAGAAAGGGATGTAGACTGTTCGTCGGGTGTCGTTTACAAGATACCCTTTGATTGTGACCTCTGTTATATTGGACAGACTAAAGGTTGTATAAATGAGCGTTTGATGGAACACAAACGTTGTATAATGAAAAAAGACCCGTACTCGAAGTGTCAAAACATGTTATCGAATGTAGAAACTGCGTACCGTTGTGGCATCTAACTTCAGTATAGTTGCGGGAAAAAGATGATCATAAGCGGTTGATAAGAGTCATTAACGATATTAGGTCACGGGAATGCAGTTAATAAGCCGTCGTTTGGGTTGGACAATGAACTGCGGTGTTTTCTTAGGCTGTGAAAAGTTCTGACCTTCAAGGTTTATGTCTGTCGGTTTTCGGGTAGCGGGAACGATGGGTCGTTCTTTTCTTTTTCTTTTTTTCTTTTTTGTATATGTGTTACTGGGCTTGAGGTTACCAGTGTGTTTGGCGGTCGGGAAGCGAGGGGTCAAAGATAAGAGGATTGCATGACGCAGAGTCTGTTGTCCTTGTTGTTTAGTCAGAGGTTACGTTGGTGGAAAGTGGCATTCTTTGGGGTTCTCACCCTCTCCTCCTTTTTTTCTTTTGTATCGAAGTGCCTATATAACCAGGTCTGGAAAATAAAAATTTCAAGGGAGGAAGTGGCCGAGTGGGCTAACGCGTCTCAGCCCGGAGCGTGGAGCGAAAGCTTGCGCTGGGAACCTCCTGGGTTCGATCCCCGCCTTCCCGCCCGTTTCGATCTGGATGAGTTTCGCACCGGCACGCGTTCGTGTGATCACTACTAGGTGATGCACGTTAAAAATCTCAGGTTAGCGGTTGTACCGCACTGGCTAAATTTATCATCTACAGCTAAGAGACCGATTACCCGTTGAGGCGCATCTCCATCAAGGCTGTATAAACATAAAGAGCAAGCCAATTTTTTTTTTTTTAATTTCAGCTGTGTTAGTGATTTTTTAGTGTTGTGTCGTTTACCCGCAGTCTCAGGGTTTTTTCAACCATGTGCAATGTACACCAGCTCGTTTGCGCCCTTACTTTTTGAACATTCTACATCCTTTTCTCTGTGTTTTATCGTGCAACCTGAAACAGTCGAGGCAAAAGGGGTCAAACGGCTAAATCTCTAACCTGTAGAAAAGGCAGTGCCAATATTAAACCTGCTAGCTAACGCTTTGATGTAGTGCGAAATTTTATGAAAATATGGAAGGACTACTCGCTTTGAAGGTCTAGGATTGTTCCGAATGGACTTCTTTGGACATACCATATACATCAACTGCCTTAAAATATGTTCCTGAGGATATCCAGCAACCTCAATACGTTCTGTCAGTCGACGAAGAGAAGAGCCAATAAAATGTGAGCATGATTTCTGTACTGTTGAATTGACGAGATTCCGAATTACTCCCAGTTTGACATGTTTATAATGGCAGTTATTGAAAGGAAGAAGAGGTTTTGCTGCGAACTTTCCGTACTCCCAACAAAGGCCTGAACTATTCCTAAGTTGAATATCGAGATACTGTAAACGGTCGTCATTCGGTCTCTCTAGCGAAAACCTTAATTCGAGCGCTGCTTCGAACACTACTTTCTCCAAAGAATCCGCTAAGGAGACATCTGTTGAACAAACCAAGATATCGTCTACGTACCTCCTCACCAGAATTTCCTTAGGGGATCTATGTCTAAAAGACTCTAGAAGACGCAGATCTAAGTTTCTTAGATAAATATCCGAAAGAGTTGGGGCTACCGCCGATCCAATACACACACCCTGTTGCTGAATGTAACTTTGACCGTTATGTTGCACCACCGTAGAACCTAGATACACTTCTAAAATCCTGAGAACATCTTGAAAAGATATCCCCGACTGCGACTGGAAACTGACCAAATGTTCTTCCAAAAAGCTGCTGACCCTAGCCAATAACGTCTTAGGTTCTAAAGAATAGTACAGATCTTTTATGTCAAAACAAAAGATCGTGCACCTCTTTCCGTGGAAAGGTTACAATTCAGCCACTAAATCATCAAAACACCGCAGTGACAACGGGGATCTAGAATCCAAGATCGTGAGAGTCTTCTGAAGAAATGAGGACACTATTTTCTGCCATGTGCCATTCTCGTTTATGACTACTCTTAGAGGAAGATCCACCTTATGATCTTTAAGGGTTTTTTTCAACCATGTGCAATATACACCAGCTCGTTTGCGCCCTTACTTTTTGTTCAGTAAAATGTATGGGCTCAGGACGAAAGGAGAATAAAGGCAGGATTTTCATCTCCACAAGTGAAAGCTGCGTGCTTGTGAAACCAATTAATTGCGTACCTATTACACCAGAACCCACCGTGCAGATAAAAAACCTGTCTTTATGCTCATTTTCCCCGGAGCACACACATTACACTGTCATCTTAAGGGTGGACTACACCATGGCGTGGACGGAGGCTACTGACGTCAATTTTGTTGCGTGTGCTCTCGCACACCGCCGGTTGGTGGCTCGCGAAAAGATCCTGCGCTTAAAAAATGGACGCTTAAAAATTGGATCATGAGTATTTTTTTTAAATAAAGACCACGGGGCAAATACAAAAATGCGTGACGTCAAAGTGACTCGAGCTTAGTTCATTCTCGCAGATATTGAGGAATTTTGGGAGCGAGTACCGTCTGAATGTCGTTGGCTGGAAGGAACGTGCTTATTGATGGAAACTAATGGTAATGTTCTATTTGTCATATCAATGCTCGTATACAAGCGCACTTGCTCACAAGACTTATGAGGTCTGCAAATGAGCAGGGACCTGTTTCGAGTAGAGCGGAGGCACTTGCCTTTGTACAGTAAACTGGAAAGGGGAAACTACATCGTCAAAAAAAAGCAAAGCAGACAAGGTTGTTCTTAATCGTGTCTCACGATACTAAAGGGAAGCTAGAAGAGACAGATGTAGAGCAGTTAAACGCGTCCTTAGAATATATAAAACAATAGCGTTGCTCGTTACTCGGATAAAAAGTAACGCACCTAAGTTGATTATTCCTGTTTTCATGAAACTAACTGTCATCACGCCGTTACGAAACAATAAAATAAACTAGTACAACGTGTTCCTTGGGAAGTACGCACAAGTTTGCGTAATCGGCTTGAACCAGAAACTCCTGAACTCTTTCTCGTTCAGGCATATGGACCATCCCGGGATCGACGGAAGCAGTCGCCTTTGTCAGGACGAAATACGCCAACGAAAGCATCGATTACCCGGACGTCGAGATCATGCTGCTTTCGATGCCTCCCGCCAGTGAATTTACCGAAGCCTTCCTCATCGGAATGGGACTCAAGCGAGAGGTGCGTACGAACTCTCCTAATCTAACTAAGGCGCCCGGAGCGCGTCCGAGAGAGAGAAAGAGAGAGATAGAAATAAAGAGAGAGAAAAAAAAAACAAGAAGGAGAGAGAGAGAGAGACATTGTTCACGCCGCCTGGTGTTGTTTAGTGTCCTATCCCGACTGACGTCACTGTACCCTGGGAAGGTAAAATCCTTGTCTTCCCTGCCTGTTACTCGGACACAAACATATACTAACATACAGACGACCAAACGTCACAAGGTGACTGACCGGTCTCAGTTTCTATGTCAATCGCCATTTCGGTCCGTCCAAATCTTCGCAGTTTCGAAAGGGTCGTTCTGAACCACTGACACCAAGATCGCCAAGGAGCATTATCGTACTGAAGGCGTTCCTCGCCAATATAAGCGTCTTTAGCACTGTGCATTCAATTCACTTATCAATACTGCTTACCTCCACAAATCTCTTATACTGACATTGTTGTTCTTGCGTGTTTAAGGGAATAAACATTATTTTTTATCCTTCCAAGCACCTACGCCGTATGTGGTGGCAGAACGAAGACGTACGCTTGTTTCGCCGGTGTGGGAATAGCAAAATATCGGTAAAAAAATTGGGTTGTGACTTGGTATGCCTCACAGGGGCGACGAGTCTCCCAGCTGTAGATGAGAAATTTAGCCAGTGCGGTACAGCTGCTAGCCTGGGGTCTTTAACGTGCACCACGCAGTAGTGATACACGACCGCACGCCGGTACGATGCTCATCCAGATCGAAACGGGCAGGGGTGGGGCTCGAACCCAGGATCCCTGGGTTCTGCAGCGCGAGCTTTCGCTCCACGTGCTCCAAGCTGGTGTGCGCTAGACCACTCGGCCACCGATCCCCCCTATCGGTATAGAAGAAACGTCTATAGGGTGTATTCACTGACGTCATTATGTCCACCATTTTGTAGTCAGGAGCAGCCTGGCGCGTGCCAAAGGCGAACGTTTGAAATATTCATTTCACACCATCAAATGCGTAGTGCATGGTACCTATAGGTCTCACTGTTGAACATGTACAACAAAATGGCGGAAGGACATCACATGAAAAATAGATCTGAATGTTTCGGTTGTATGTTGTGTACTGGATGTGCCAACTGCAAAGGGGACAGATACCTTTGTCAGGTATTTATGCGTTTAGTCTCCATTTCGGTTCTCCCCAAAAGAAGTACACCACTTTCATGCTTTATAAAGAGTATTCACTGGCGGCCATAGCTGTGTGCGCGACTGCTGAGCGCGTGGTGATGGCTAGCTTCCAGGGTTCTTTTGCAACGTGCATTCCACACCGTCAAAATGGCCGGTCGTAGCAGCCAATTAATGGGGGCTCGTTCGGAGCATGCGCTCTGGAGAGCACCCACAAATATGGCGCCCAGTGAATACTCCTTATAAAGCCACTCGTCACCAATGAATCCAGGTTCTTTAACCAAGGATGGAGAGGTCGAAGAAAAACTGCTCGGTCCATGAACCAAAATGGCGACTATGCGGGGGAGCTTGGCTCTACTTTCTCAGGATCCAGTGACTTTAAAGGGATACCGAACCAAGGAATTTACTGTCCATAATAAGTGGCGCACGTTCTTTCCACGAGCCAGCACCCGCCGGTGTCCGCGAGCACACGCAACAAAAATGACGTCAAAGACCTCCATTCGCGGTTAAGAGGAGAGGGAAACGTATGGGCTTCGGGCCAAAGGAGAATAAAGACAAGTTTTTCATCGACACGGTGGTGTCTGGTGTAAAAGGTAAGCGATTAATTGGTCTAACAAGCACGTAGCTTTCACTTGTAGAGATGAAAAGCCTGTATTATTCTCTTTTGGCCAGAGGTCCATGCATTTCACTGTCCTCTCAAGCGCGAATGGAGGTCTTTGACGTCATTTTTGTTGCGTGTGCTCGCGCACACCGGCGGCTGCTGGCTCATGGAAAGCACGTGCGCCACCTATTATGGACAGTAAATTCTTTGGTTCAGTATCCCTTTAATCCCGACCCTAGATCAATCGATGTCCCGCAGTGGCAACAGATGACGTCATAGAAGCCAGCGTGTCATTTTAGAGAGCAGATATTATAGAAAGCTCCCAAATGCTCGATTGGGGTCACGTGGGTATTGTGCCGCGTTTGCAATACGAGCTGCGAGTACGCAACAACGCAGCGCATGCGCACTTATACGCCCAACCTCCGCAAGAATCCTCCACCATTAAATTGCAAACGCTCCTGGTCTGATCTGAACCCTCTCTTCAATCGCTCTCAATGTCATTACGTCGAATGTCGCCATCCTGGCGGTTGATGCAACAAGTCTTGGCACAAGTAAGAGGGAACGCGAGTGTCGCTGTCATTGTGGAGTTCCGACGCCTGGCTGCTAAAGCTTCTGTAAGCTGTCTAGCTGGACAGCAGCCTTTAGCCGAACAGGCGTCTACCAGATCGACCAAAGCTGCTGTGAGACCGCCAGCTTCGCGGCCGACGACAATATGACATTAATATGACGTCATCAAGTGGAAATTGAGGAGCATGTTTTTAGGACAAGGTAAACACACCAGGCGCGTTGCAGGCAGCGTAGTATAACTGGATGAACAATTTTGGCCCTCAGTGTGCTTTCCTGGAGTGGTTAGGATACTTCATCGAAAGGTCACTTGTTTTTGGCTGTTATGAGAGGAGTTTGGTGGCCGAGTAGTCTAGCGCACGCCAGCTAGGAGCACGTGGAGCGAAAGCTCGCGCTGCAGAACCCAGGGATCACGGGTTCCATCCCCACCCCTGCTCGTTTCGATCTGGATGAGCATCGTACCGACGTGCGGTCGTGTGTCACTATTGCGTGGCGCACGTTGAAGACCGCAGGCTAGCAGTCGCACTGCGCTGGCCAAATTTCTGATCTACAGCTGAGACATCAGACGGCCATTTGGCTGACTAACTTCTGGCTGTATAAACATAGGCACAACACAATTACTTCGTTATGAGAAGTACGAACAGCACACGACGAGATTCGAAGCCGAAAAAATAACTTCGAGAATTAACCTTCTTGAAGCCTCGAGTAGTAGGGGAGGCGTTGCTCCGCCCCCGTCGGTTTAGATATGATTGAGCATCGTACCGGGCGTTTGCTCGTTCAATCATATTTGGTGCAGGTTAAAAACCACATAGTGTATAGTTGTACTGCACTGGATAACTTCCTCATCCGCAGTATAAATCAGCGTCACCACATTTCAAACGCCAAGTGACTTCACGCTGTCTAAATATTTACTTTTGGGGACTTTAAGCAAACCGTTACCTTGTTGCGCCTTTGAGGTACGCTTTCAAGCGCGCGCACCGCGGTCACTGAATCCCCTAAGCGCGCTCTTAAAACCATGCTTCAAAGGCTCCGTTAGCGCGGCACGCGGAACACGGTAAAGGTTTGCTAAAAGCTCCATATATATATAGCGGTGTTCTGATTAATAATCGACTGTTCATAATGCGTCACACTTTCGTCAATATTTGCCACTTTGAGTGAACCTCCATTTACTTTTAACGCACGATATGCTCCTGCCTAAGATAGTTTCAACCAGTATTGCTTTTCTATTGGACCGCCAGGTCTACGAAAAGTACTTCCTGCCCTACCGCAACCAGTCGTCGTTCAGTTTGGCGCCCATGGTTATGCGACCCAAGTCACGTGGCTTTGTCAAGCTCCGCTCGTCCAATCCGGACGACGCCCCGCTCATCGACCCCCGCTACTACAGTCATCCGGATGACCTCAAGGTTATCGTTGAAGGTGAGCAACCCCGTGGTGAGTGAATGCGAGAGAGAAAAAAATAATCAACTAATATTTGAGCGTGTACCTTTCAAATAGCATACATGTTTGTTTTGACGTTTCTTGAAAACTTCTCAGCATTTCAGCGTAATTTTGAACTGACATGCATGTTTCTTTTGACATCTATTTTTTTTAAGCTCTTCCGCTTTTGAGCATAGCTTTAAAATAACATTTGTTTGTGAAGCTTTTCAACTTTTAATTTTACGGAGGGAGGACCTTAACCAATTTCTTGCAATGCCTGTGGCTATTGAGAAAAAACTTGATCAGCTTCAATCCGTCGTTATTCAGCAACGCTTCTGACGCCGCAAGTCTTGCGAGCTTTTGAGATAAGCTGGCCAGAGAAGTTTCGGAGGCATTGACGATTTTCAGGTCAGGAGACCAATGTGTAAAGGGCCGCCCACACTAGCGAGAAAACGCGCGTGGCACGCCGATCGCGGCAAGTAACAAAATGTCGCCGAAGCACAGTCAGCGCCACGAGCGCGTGCAGAGACACGCTCTTTATCTTCCCGCTTAACCGATTTATCGGCGCGCCGGGCGCGTTTTCTCGCTAGTGTGGGCGGCCAGTTAGCCAGCCTTCGGTTGCGTTAACTAGAAAGAAACTTGTCGTTTTAGAGTCTACAATTAAGGGTTTAAATGTCCTTGTTATCCTTTTGTTGTAATGTTTTTCTTAGTTGCTTCTTTTTCAAAATCGCAAATCGAAATATTCGCGTGCCTTATCTTATTTTTTTTTAATCTTTGTTTATTGCTTTTCTAATTTGCATTGTGTGCCTTGCTGCTTTCCTTGTTTTATTTTGCTGTCTCTTTTTCTTTTTCTTCTCTTGCATTGAGTTGAGACCCAGCGTCTGTTTGTCCCGCGTTTTTTTTTTTCTTCCCCAATCTTTTGTGCGTCATTTTTAATCATTTTTAAATATCACCAACTGCCCATCTGAAAGGCTCCGCTTAACTTCTTACTGAGAAACACTGCTCAAGAAATCGAACTTATCGAATTTTGCCGGAAGCTCGAAGGTTCGCCGAATTAGTGGTACCTAGAGCCACTCGATATGGCAGCGTAGCTGCCAGAGTAGCGCCACGCTTTTCCCTGTGCCGCCTCTCACCGCGATTGGTCACACGCGGTACCATAGCAACGAGCTGAGCTGGCTCGGTTTTCGAAGCAACCGAGTGACGACTCGTCACGTGACCTCTCAAGAGCCGTGATGTCATCGGTAAGATGGCAGCGCCCAGAGCTGGTGGATGCGAGTTTGTTCGGTGCGCGGTAGTCGTGATGTGCCGCAGCTTGCCGTCGATTTAGAGCTTCCTGGTGCTTTCTGACGTAGGTATAACGTGAAGATCTGAAAGAATTATACTTTATACCCTTTCCGTGCAAGATCGCTCTGGATATTAGCACCTGTGCAACAGCATCAGTAATATCGCCTTAGCGGTGCTCGGGTTTCCGGATGTGTATGAGGATCGATAAGACATTTAGCATGTAATTTTCGCATTCTCTTAGCTTTATTTGAACGTTGGAGTGCCTGAGAATCGATGCGAAATCTATGCGTCACATGTTGGGCCTTGGGGAATTTGTTTTTGCCCGAGGTAACCGCATGATCACAAACTTTTAGCGAGGAAGCTCCTGCGATGTTTACGTTTTGTACTAATCAATCAGGGAACCTGGGTTCAATCACCACCCCTGCCTGTTTCGATCTGGATGAGCATCGTAACGCCTGCGGTTGTGTATCACTACTGCGTGGTGCACGTTAAAGATCTATAGACCCCAGGCTAGCAGTTATACTGCATTGGCTAAATTGCTCTTCTACAGCGAGTGACTCGTCTCAACTTTGAAATGGCTGACCAACTACACGCTGTATAAATATTCACACAACTCCCAAGCATACTAATCAACGATTTTACGATATGCGCAGCGCAAGTTCGTCTGCTTCTTTTAGTAGGGGTTATGGTGACGTCAGAACGCCGAGCTCTGATTGGTTCTCAATAAAGAATAGTGGGTAGGCCTCAAGGCAGCTTGCTTTGTGCTCTACCCACTATCCTTCAATCGGAGCCACTGAGATCTCGGCGTTCTGACGTCACCACAATCCCTGCAAAAAGAAGCAGACGAACTTGCGCTCCACATAGCTTTTAGGATAAAATTTTCGCATTTTTCTAGCTTCCTTTGAAAGTCTTAATTTCTGAGAATACGGCGCGTGTAGGTATACGCGTGTAAGGTATAAGGTATACGGCGCGTGTAGGGCCTAGGGGAAATTGTTTCAGCCCTGGGTTACCGAATAATCACAGCATTTTTTAGCGAGGGTGCTCCTGCGATCTTTAACCTTTTTTACTAATCGTCAATTTTACGAATTGGCAGTTCTGAAGATTTTGATATAACTTGCTTTCGTTGCAAAGCTTGCATTTGATCGCAGTGTTTTTTGGTTTGTTTTTCAAGTGAAAAATTGGCGTTTGCTCAAGTGATGCATATGAAATGTCCTGCTATATAACAATGCATCAACACATACTATTAAACTTAGATGCTCAGAGGTGTGTTCGTCTTTGTAATTAACAAGTTACAGACGTATTTATTTTTTACGAGTGTAATATTTATTTTCTGTGGCTGGGCCCGTTTTGTGCTCCTTAATGGCAGTGTGCTTGGTTCCAAATATTCTCTTTACAATGCCTACAAAGGCCAAAATGACGTCAGCCGACCCCAACTCACGCATTGGACACGAAAACTGCGTCGCTCGGATGTATGCGCTCGTCAGCAATCAATTCGTCTATGGATATTTGAATTCGCTTTCCTGGCCAGTGAGTGTCCCGACAAAACTTATAATCACTTGCGAATGCCAAGTTCTGCGGTGTGCCTAAAAAGCACGGTGAAAGCTTGGGGTCATCGCACCGGTGCCCTAGCATGTCACGACTGCGTGATTTCACAGTTCTCTTTTGAGTTGAGGATTACAGGTAAGAAAGAAGAAGCTTAAAAATAATTTTGTGGCCCCTTTAACACGGATATGTGTGCTACACCAGATAAAAATATTGACTTTTTGAATGCCGGTAAACTTCCAAACAACCATTTGGCCTGTCGGCAAGAACACCTCATATCCGGCGTCCGTTTCTTTTGATGGCGTCAACGATTTCCTAGAGACCACCATGCCGTCTTTCTTGGTTGAACCCCGTCGACGTCGTGCCTCACCAGTCGGTGAGAAAACCTCATCTTGAAGGGATGATCGGGTCTTGAAGAAGTATGATGCTAAACATATGCTCGCTCACTATGGGGCAGTCGAGCAGCAGTCATGTCCCGAGCCAATCGTCCTGTCGTGGCCGGCGTAATCGGATTTTGTTCCATCGGAGCGAAGTCCGAAAGTACTAGGACTGTACGTTCATCCCACGAAGCGGCCGCCATCCTGGCGGCGCCGAAAACCACTCGCCTTGTCCGTGCACGTACGATACCCTAGCAGCTCTCGTCGCCCGACAGTCCCCGGGCTGCAAATCGTCTCACTTCTCAGAAAAAACAGGCACCGTTCCTCCAGAGGTTCTTGCCATACCGCGATGCCAAGCGTCTTATACCACTTTTCAATGAACGAATGGAGATATCAACTAGACTACAAAGGTTGCCGCCCGGCGTCGCTAGAAGCACGGTTACCATGGCAACCTCCCAGGCCCAAAATGGAGATCACTATCAGCGCTTCTGACGTCGTGCATCTAGATAATTTTGCGTCGTGTCGCTACTCTGGCAGCTACGTTGCCATATAGAGTGGCTCTAGTGGTACCTCGAGGCTTGATTATGATATTTGGAGCGCGCATCATCCTACTGGCTCTTTTACCGCGTCCACGTTCCGCCTGATGCCGTCATAGACGGGCCATGTTGCTGCCTGCTGCAATCATGGCGATGGCACAGCGCCGGAGGCGGACACGTGCAGACGCCGGTTGTACTGTAAGTTCATCTGCAGTCAGACAGTCACATTTGTATACTAGCAACCGACAGGATCGCAACATCCCAGCGCATGACATGCGTCGACTCCTGTCACGCAATTTTTCGGCTCTTCAGGACCACCTTCGATGCATGTGCGGGATACGACGGTAAACACACCGGTGTTGGGCGCTTTCCAGTGACCGTGGTCTGACGTAAGGCTTGGGTTCGACAGACGTTAACGATATCCGTAGTGACGATTTCTCTATTTTTCCCCCGCGCAGGCCTGAAGGTGTGCCACCAGATTTCCCGGACGGAAGCGTTCCGACCCTTCGGAGGCGAGTTCTGGAGGGAACCTTTCCCGGGCTGCGAAGGGCTCGAGCAGTTCAGCGACGCCTATTGGGAGTGCCTGGCGCTGTCCTTCGCAGTGTCCGCCTACCACCCGGCGGGAACGTGCCGCATGGGCACGGACTCGGCGGCCGTCGTCGACCACCGCCTCCGGTAGGGATTCCCTTCCCATTGCAGGTTCCGTAAAACGAAGCTGTTAATCTTTCGCGCTTTTTTAATTGAAAACTATGGAGAAAAAATATCTCCCTCACCATAAAAAAAAAAAGAACAATCTAAGAAAGCCTAAAATTCTTTTAAAAAAAAGTACTAGCGTGATTACGCTGGCAAAGGCTGATAATCACAAAATGCTTGACAGGCCTTTCAAGGAAAAGAAGGGCTTGTGAAAGGCAGCGCCTATTGAAAATTCGCTCTTATTTCTGACAGACGCCGTGAGATGGCGCAGCATGACAGAAAAGGCTGCAAAGGCACGACCGCGCGTCCGTGCGCCGAACGAAACAGTTCGTTTTCGCGCGCTGCGCCCAGTCACCCTGGATAGCTCAATCGGCAAAGCACTTGGCTCACAGTCTCGAAGTGGTGAGCTAAAATTCTGCCAGGAGTCTGAAGTGTTTTTATATGGTTACATAGCGTAGCGCTTTTCGGTGTCGGTTCTTCGTTGCAGCCGACCGTTACAGCCAAATGTTACAGAACCCCATGAAAATCGGCTAAATAAAACACATTCTGCGTCGGAAAAACACGGAGACAGTCGATCGCGGCGGGCTATAAAAGAATGGTCGCGAATTACGACAAAGCTCAAATTGTAATTAAAAAGAATAAAAACGACGGGCTTAAGGACAATGAGCATGCGAAACGTCGTTCCCTTCGCCCCTGTGGACTTCGCATTTTCCCGATCTAATGGTATTCCAAACTTCGTATTTCGCTGGGACCCTTCTATTTTCGCCGTGATTGGGCGTCTACGTGCTGTGAAGAAAATTGAACTCAGACCATATTTGTTTTCGTGCTCGCGTTACTCCGTGATGCACGTTAATAATCTTAGGATAGCAGTCCTGCTGTTCCGGCTAAATTGACAAACTACAGCGTCAACCAGTGTTGCCACATCTCACAAGCACTGCAGACCAACCGAATCCCGAAGCAAGGCGCGTCAACATAATAAGCTACGCCGTGCGTTTCTTGAGCTGTCTGCGACTACGCCTTCTTGTCCTTCTTGCAATCTTAAAACACGTCACTCACCAGATCGAAGTTTGTTTGTTGAGTGAATTACGACTCCTGCCTTCTTGCTCTCGCAGGGTGCGTGGAGGTATCCAGGGTCTCCGGGTGGTGGACGCCTCGGTCATCCCCGACATGCTATCGGGGCATCTGAACGCCCCGATCATCATGATCGCGGAGAAGGCGTCCGACATGATCCTGTGGGACAACCGGAAGGACGTGGACCAGTCCAGCAACATCCTGGCATCCAAGCTGCACCAGGACGAGAACACAGCAGCGGCGGCCTCGGGTACCGCCGTCGTTCCGCTGGGCATCTTGCAGCTGCTCGCTTTGTGGGCCTTTTACTTCGTTTTACCATAATTCAAAGCGTCGCCAACGTTACGAGCTGCACGAAGCAAACGAAGCGGCGGCAGAATGCGCCACGTCACGGCGTTCATTGTCAATTAGGGCGTACGCTATCAACCAGCTCAACCTATCAACCACTGTGAGTGCATTGTACGTGTCCCCGAGCTTTCAATCTATGCCTCTGCGCTCGTCCGTCTTATCTTTTGGCTGCGCTCAGACTTATGATGGTGAAAACGATGTATATGTATATGCATATGTATATGTATAGGTACATTCAATGTCAGCTTAAGAAAAGGCAGGGCCTGGTGTGTCCCAGTCATCTTAATATCGCTCCGCAGGCGGCAATAGCGGAACAGATCTCCACACTAGGAAAAGCCCGTGAGTCTACGTTCCTGTACAACACTTGGGGAGCCAATCACCGCAACTTACGAAAGCAGTTCAGCGAATGACGATGCCGAAACATATGTTTAAACCAAAGAACGCAGTTCGAGTTGTGACATTAAGCAATGCAAGCGTGAAGTTTTGCATTGCTTAATGTCACAACTCAGACTGTGTTTTTCTTTTTTTCTTTTTTCTTTTTGTCTAAACACATGTTTCGGCATCGTCATTCGCTGAGCTGCCTACGTAAGTTGCGGTGATGGGCTCTCCGAGTGTTGTGCGGGAAAGTAGACGCACGGGTTTTGTTTAGAGTGTAGGCCAGGTAGCGCTAGCTACCGCCCGTCATAACGGGTACGGCCATTAGCATCCATCCATCTATCCATCCATCCACACGCAAAAAAAAAAAAAAAATGTTCATGAAGTGATAAGCGGGAATATACTATACCACGTCCAGCGTTTTTTAAGTCGTCAGCAATCATAGCAGCGCTGCTCGCAGTCTTGCATTCGTTTCGTCGGGCGGTGCGTTCATGGCGGTGAACTACCATGCAGTGGGAGCGCCAGTAAATGGTCTTCCTTTAGCCTGTTGAACTAATCAGAAGAAATATGGGTATCGTACGCTCTAATGATTGTAGAGTACCAGTAGCAAACATGGTGGACGTGCTTTTCGCCACTACGACTGCATGGTCACTGGGACACGATACCAATGGTCCTTCTCATCGGCAAGGCTGATTAAATGCAGGTCGATGGTTGGGGGGACGAGTATACTTGTATACATTTCTAACAGTGTGCGCTCTAAAAATGCACATGCGTCAACTTTGTGCACATATCAGTTGGAGAGTTAGTTGCTGCGATGAAAGGACAACGAGATTTTCAGAAGAAATAATATTACTAAACAAATTAATGTTTACGATGTGAAGCTGCTTGGAGCTAATACTCGTGTTTGCATCAGGATCAGGTGTCAACGTCGGAAACTTCACTTGCAAGTCAAAACTTTTTTTTTTTTTTTTTTTTTTTTGTGTTTTGCCGTTTGTTAAGCAAGTTTCAGTGATTGCGACTACGAGTACTCGGCGGGGAAAGTTAGCGCAGGTGCATTTCGAGGGCGTAGGGCACCGCGATGAATGGAGCCAGGAGAAGAGATGCCCTACGCAAAGATGGGAATGGTGGATCTTTATCAGTCGTTGCTAGAAAGGAAGAAAGAGAGAGAAAAAAAATACCGAATAAAAGATCGAACAAAAGGAGAAGAAAGATATGCCCTTTTCTTTATATATGTAGGTGCATAAAAGGAAAGCAGAGCAAGGAGTCGAACCACGTTACATTCGGAACCAGATACTGTAAAACCATTTAAGTTCGCAAGCCCTTACTTTTAGTGAAGTCCGCAAATCGAAAATTTCGCGAAATTTAAGGGCACACGAAAATTTCGGTCCTTAAAAGTTTCAATGCAGGCGTCTGGAATTCGCGAAATTTATTGCACTCTAAAAAAATACCCCTGCGTCTACTTTCCCGCACAACACTCGGAGAGCCAATCCTTGCAACTTACGGAGGCAGCTCAGCGAATGACGATGCCAAAATATATGTTTAGGCCAAAAAACGCAGTCTGAGTTCTGACATTAAGCAATGCAAGCGTGACGTTTTGAATTGCTTAATATTACAACTGAGACTGTATTTTTTTATGTAAACAGATGTCTCGCCATTGTCATTCGCTGAGCTGCCTCTGTACGTTGCGGTGAATGGCTCTCCCAGCGTTGTGCGGGAATGTAGACGCAGGGGCTTTTTTTTTTTTTTTAAGTGTGGCCGCGAATACGACCTCTGCGTCCGGTTCGCAAAAAATGGGGGCCGCGAAAATAAAGGGTTTTACAGTATTGGTTTATTTATTTTTCCAATTCACATCTAATCAATCAGTTTGCGAACTTTTCTGTTCGGCATGCCTCTTTAACGTTTCAAACTGACATAACAATTCACTCTCAGACAGCTTTTGGTGTCCCGCAATTGCGTGGAAACCCCAATCGATGGTCTTCATTTAATAAGTTCAGCCAATAAAAAAAAGGCGATCGGTATGACCTTCGGGTATCACCAATGATAGGTATCACACATCACCACTGAGACTACATAGTCATTGTCCTGCGATGTCGTTTGCGCTTATCCGTGGCTGCTCTGATTAAAGTGAACTTATCATTGTTTTTTTTGTTTTTGTTTTTTGTGCTTTGAATGAAAGTGTAAAATGTACAGCACAGATTGCGCGAACACGACATCGGCGTTTCTTTTTTTTCTTCAAGTTTGCCTTGTAGGTTAGTACACCAAATTACTGTCCATCACGCTAGTAATTTTTGATGCCATCATTTTGATTCTGTTGTCATTGACATCTTAAGAAACCGAGGGCGTGACGAAGCGTGTTTTTATCGCAGTGCAGCCAATGAGATTGATGCAGCAGCCGATAAGAGTTCAAATTATAGAACCCAGAAGCATGAACATAAGAAGTTCCGCCGTGCGTTTCTTCAGGTTAATCCTCAATTTATGTAGGCTAACACAGTCTTAATTTCTTTCATCTTTCAACCTTACGGGGTCCTCCAGCAAACGTGGTGAGAGAAAAAACAGAGGAAGCAAACGAGTATCACTCAAACGCAGTGTCAACTATTTTGCTGCAGAACCCAGAGATCCTGGGTTCAATCCCCACCCCTGCCCGTTTCGATCTGGATGAGTATCATACCGGCGTGCGGTCGTGTATCACTACTTCGTGATGCACGTTAAAGACCCCAGGCTAGCGGTTCTACTGCACTGTCTAAGTTGTTCATCTACAGCTAGGAGACTCGTCACCCGTTGAGGCAGACCAAGTTCTAGGCTGTATAAACATACACACAACCCAAATTTTTTCGCTACTTCGCCAAGTAGCTTCCGCAGTGCTCGAAGCCCCAAGCGTCTCCTTTGCACGAGAACGAGTGTGAATGAGGTACACGACGAAACTACATGCTCTCGCAGCTATGCGGGGCTAGAACACTCTGAAAGCTGCGCTATCCTTTACAACGTAACACACAGCAGCGGTTGTCCCCAAGTGTAGGGCTTTCTTCCTCGGCAGCAGCAGATGAACATACTGTTGGCGAGGAGGTCGAACTATAGAGTGCTCTATGTCCAGATTGTTTTCTCCAAGATTTCTGTGTTTATCATTAACTCAAGGCACGTGCATTTGTATCTTTACTTTATCTTTCTCGGTTGAGCGCTGGACAAAGATTGCGCGCAACCCATTAAGGCGTTCCCAGCTCTTTTACCGCGCTCAGTCGAGAAAAATTAAGGGAAATAATCCACGCGTGTCGCGTCCGCTTTCGGCTTTGCTGAGTGAACACGAGTCCCAGCCGAACGCTGACGCGACGCCCGGCTAGGTCAAAGCGCAAACAAATGATTTATGTTGTTATTGTTGTTGTTGTCCTCATCAATGTATAGTTCTCACTTTAGCCGCTAGTGGCGCGACGGTTGGATTTCCTTCCCATACAAAGGAGACCACACGAGGGGTCAGCATTGCGCGTGCGCAGGCACAAGATTCGCGTGAAGTGCAGCGTTTGCACATGCGCCGACAGCAACATCACCGCAGAAGTGTGACATCCGGGCCGCGTGTTTGTGTGTATGAAGAGCTAGATTGTACAAACACTTTCGACGAAACTGGTCGCAAAGAAACAAAACATAATAAACAGCACTTACACAAGAAATCATTTACCCGAACAGTGACTTGTAACTCTAATCATATGAAGCTTGAACTAGATAAACATAGAACGGGTATCTTTTCCATATGTATCTCAAAACATCAATGTCATATCTCTGCACATTCTTCAAAACAATAGAAAGTGAAAAACTTCAGCATTTGGAGGCCGCACGCCTGTTTTATAAGTTCATACACCTTCTTCACTTCCTGTTCATCGACTAACATCTGCAAGTAGGGGGCCCAGCTGCTTTGGTTCCCATGCCATCTCATTCAAACATGCGTTCCACTGTCCGTTTGCGGTGCACTGTGCTTTATATGTCACAAACTTTCAAGGTCGTCAAAGAGGTGTTGTGCTGATAGTTAACGAAATATGTAAATATTGGTGTAGTGGCTCGTTGTCAATAAAAATCAATGAGGTGTTTCACAATGTCTCTACTGCTGTCTCCTCCCGAATAGCACTGCTCACCGAGGAATCTGCCATTTTTAAATAAAATTTTTGACGCTGCTGCTGTTGCTTGAAGTGAGATTGAAGTTCAGTGTTGAGATAGCAGTATCAGTGTTGAGATAGCAGTATCCCTGTTGATCCACTGCCGGCTGAGAACGCAACTCAAATCTTTGGAAATAACTGTCAACTATAGTCGTAGCCAATTTAGCAACGCAAGCTATGTCCATATTATGCTGACGTTTTTTTCTTGCTTGGTGAGTCGTTCGTCGGCGTTCTTATTGGCCAACGCCGCAATCTGACTGAAGAACGATAACAAAATGCTCAGGGATCGCCACAGTCTGCGTTTGTTAAGTTGTCAATGGCTCAGGAAGCGTACTGGACTACGAACCTTGGTGGTCACACGTACGGCAGAAAAGGCAAGTATGAAATATTAGTAAGTCGCCATTTTATTCTCGCCAATGATTATTGCTAATAGACATCGTCCAAAGGACCTACACAACCGGAGTGGCTACTCATCGGATCGCATTGTGACACGAAACACAGTAG